TGGCCGGCCGAGTGCCATGAAGGCGTGTCGTGGCGCGGCGTAGCAGGAGGGAAACCGGCCGCGGTCGGCGCGCGAGACGCCTCCTCCTCCGCCGCCGCTACTGCTGCTCCACCGAGAGATGAGTAGATACTGACTGGATGCAGCAGACTCCCGCTGGTCCAGCCCGCGCCGGCCGGCTGCCCACACTGCAGCAGCAGCAACAGCAGCGGCGGCCCGCGGGCAGCTGGCCAGCCCGGCCTGACTCCCCCGCCCGACGCAGCCAACCGGCGGAGGGCCGTGCCGTCCCGTCGGCCGTCGGGCGGGAGCGCGGCGGGGTCTGAATACATTACGAGGAGTGGGTGCACCGCGCCGCGCTCCTCCCCGACCACCCCCATCTGCCCGAACCTAACCACCGTGAAAACGCCCGTCGATTACATTTTACGAGAAAACAAACGAAAAAATAAAAAGGTCAGTCCGGGAAAAGTACAGCAGCAGCAGAGGGCAGACGACACAGGCAAACCACCACTGCCACCGGCAGCGGCGGCAGTCAACCAGGTAACCGGTAAGGCAACCAGCCAGATGGCGAGCGGCCCCGAATAAATACCCTCCTCTCCTCGGCGTGGTCAACAAGGCTATAACGCAAACACGCTCGCGACCTGACCCCCCGCCGCGCCGAGCCTCGCCCTGCCCTCTGCCCTTTTCTTTTCGCCCTTCAATAAATATTTGAATTCCAATTCAACGAGAAAGGAGATGGGAGAAGGCCGCGGCCGAAAAGGAGGTCGGGGGTGGTGGTGGTCAGCGGCATAGGGCAAGGTAGTAGAGGCCGCGACCCCGCCGCGCACCGCTGCTGCTGGACCTCGCCGACCCGACGGCTCCCCCGGCCTCGGCCACCCTCCTCGGCCAGCCTCATTTGGTAATAATGATATTCCGCGCCGAATTTCGCACGCGACAGTTATCCCCTCGTAGACGCACACACACACACGTGGCCATCGCTCATAATGCACAGCGTGTGTGTCTGTGTGTGCCAAAGATCCCCGACGTGCAGTATTACGTTGCCATGGCATTATGCACGAAAACTGAGTGCAAATGCGGTGCGGCGGCGTGCGGGGGGTGTTGGGGGAGGGCCAGGAGGAGGGCGTCTGGCCGTGTGGGTGAGTGAGCGCCGCTCGCGCTGCCGGACACGAGGGTCAGTCGGTATAGGGAAAACAGAGAAGGGGGAGGGAATGCACACAGAGGGGGGGGGGAGCCACGCGTGAGAAAGACAGAAAGAGCGAGAGAGAGAGAGAGCGAGAGAGAGAGAGCGAGAGAGAGAGAGCAAGAGAGAGAGAGAGAGAGCAAGAGAGAGAGAGCGAGAGAGAGGGGGGGGGAGGGGGAGAGGGGAAGAGAAGGTCTTGTCTGCTGGCACGGCGAGAGGAATTTGCCGACTGCATACTTTCCCCGGTGTGTGCTACGCAGTGCCACGCCGCCACACCACGCGGGTCAGGGGTTGGATCTGAATAACAATTGCCGCTGCACCGCCGCCGCGCCGCGCCCGCTCCTCCATCACCATCACCTCTTGCTTGCTCGCTTTGGAAGCCCCCGAACCGGACCGGACCTGGCGACTGAATCAATGAATGGCTGCGGCCGAATGGATGCAGCACCCCGAGCGGCAACAGCGGCAACGGCAGCGCAAAGTGGCTCTTTCCGCCCTGTCTGTCCTACTCTCTCTCCCGAAGGCGCCGCGAATACATAATCGATGAGGCGACCCCGCGCGCCCCGCGCGATCAACGCGAAATAAAACGAGAACAAACACCGCAGAGTGAGTAGAGTGTGGGTCTCGGGCTCTGCGCGGCCGGACCGGACCAAACACTTTGACATGGAAATGATGGGGGCAGCGCGGCGGGCGCGAGGGTGATCAGCTCCTCGAGGAGCCGACGCTATGGGCCGCTGCGGGCCAGACAGATGCTGATGGACGCTGCCCATCGCCCGTGCGAATGACCTGCATCCGTCCACCAGAACCAGACCAGCGGCGCGGCGCGGCGGGGGTGGAGCAGGACGCGGAGCAGGGGATAGGTATAGGCAAAACTGCTCGACACCTGCGCTGGCTCGGCGACCTCCTCCTCCACCTCCTCCTGCTCGTCCTCGCCCTCCACCCCCACCCAAGGCGGTGGTATAGCTGGAATGGGGACGCTCCGTACATGGTCCCGGCTCGGGCTCAGTGCAAGTCATGCAGCTCGGGGTGACCCCGGCGGCGGGCCGGTGGTGGGCCAGCTTCTCCTCCTCCTCCTCCTCCACCACCGGCCTCTTCTCTTATTCATTGACCAGGGGAGCTGGCGTGGTCCACTGGCGATCAGCACCGCCGCGCCATCCACAACCTGTCGGGTCGGGCCGAGCCGGGCTGAGCTGCTGGGCTGCTACGCGGGCGAAATTCGAAAAATAAAATAAAACCCAAAACGAAAAACACGACATGCGCGCGCGGGAGGAGGGGAATAAGGCAATCGCGCGGTGCTCGTCGCGCTCGCATCGCGGCCAACTCCTTTGCTGCTCGGAGAGACGCGACGGCTGAAGGCTCGACTTGGCCCGGGGCCCGCGAGCAGCGCGCCGGCGACAAGCGTGCCGAGAATGGCAATGATGAATGGTATGAGCGAGTGTTTCGCACGACGCGCAAGGAGGGTCATTTCTCTACGCGAGAGCCCCACACCAACCACCACGGGCTCTGCCGCCCCATGCCCAGAGCAGCGCGCTGGTGCTGCGAGCAAAGCGCCCGGAGGCTACTTGATGCCGGAAATCATTACCGCATTGTCGCTCTTTGTTTCTCTCCCCCCTCCCCTGTTTCTCGCTCGCGCCGCCGTGTCGTGCCTCGCTCGCCTGCATATGTACTCTTTTTCCAAACAGATTCCATCTCGGCCCTTCGTGCCTCGGTCCCTCTCTGCCGTTGCTGCTGCTGCTGCGGCCGCATAGATGACATTCGCTGCATTTGCGTGATGCGCGACAATGTGGTCGAAATTCCGCCCGCGCTGCAGTGTCGTGATGGAAAATATTAGCGGGGGGCCGCGAAAAATAAAAATAAAATGGCAAATCAACGTAACCTATTGCGAGACTTTCATGGCCAGAAACATTTCGTGCATAGAGAAAAAAAAAACAGCTGAGGGGGTATTTGGACAAGCGGGGAATATCGTGTTGTTATTCAAGCGGACGACCGATAAAACATACAACATACATAAAAGCAAAAAAATAAGTAAAAAGAAAGATCGAGGCGTCCGCGTCCCCCTCTCTCGTCCCATATGCATACCGCTGTCGAGTCATCGCTTGTGATTTGGGAGTCAGCGCGGAGGGGACGAGCCGCGTGGTCAGGTGCAGGGGCAGGGAGGGAGATAGGAAAGGACGAGAGAGAGAGAGAGAAAAAAAAATCGGCTAGCTATACGACTATTATTATTATGCAGCGATTCGCAGGGTTCCCATCCTAAACCTCCGCGATATGCAAATCGAGGGAGGCCGGTGGACAATGACGGCATTACACTCAAAATGCCGCAAATGACGGACGGCCAAAAAAATGTACATTTGAAAAAAATGGTTTTGCATATGTGCGGAATCTCGCCCACAGTAGCAGCGCGCGCATCAAGGACAAAGGCGAGCCGGCGAAAAAATGTAGCAAAAAAGCAGCGAGAAGAGAGAGAAAAAAACGAGACACATTCAAGATGGGAAGAGCGGGACGGACAAAGTCAGCGCCGCACACACACACACACACACATGATGGATACAGGCTGCGTGACTGACCAAGTGACCACCGCACCGCCGCGCCACGCCGCGCCGTCAGCAATGAGCCTTAATTTGTATACTTCCAACGGGAAATAACGCCACACACAGCTGCGCTATACGGCTCCCAAAGACGTTCATTTGGCGAAATAAAAGAGAATAAGTGCGATAAGCTGCCCCGTGCCCGTGCCGTGTGGCGGTTGTACAGTGCCCGAGAGCGCCGCATGCTAAACTATCAATGCACATGCACGAACCCACAACGCGAAACAGTGCCATTTTTAATACGCTACTTTTTTTTTCGCAACTTTAAGTACCCAACTTTACCGGCACGACACGGCAGTAAGCAACTATGTTTCTGCCCATTTTTTTATATATTTATCTTTTCCAATGGAAATGTTAGCAACATGGTCCCAGGCACAGTATCACGTTCAAAAAATCAGAACATCTTCCGGCTGGCTGCTATGGCCGTATGGTGTGGTGGTGGGCCCCCGCGCTCCGCGCGCGGATAAACTGAGCCGTACTTACGCACACGAAAGTGGTTCACTGGAGCAAAACGCGCGCGTGTGTGTGTGTGGAAAGTAAACCCAGGGGCCGCCGAAAAATAATCGCAGCAGCGGCGGGCGTAATTAACATGAGAGTATGTACGTTCGACGGCTTCGACTGATTACCGTAAGTACAGTACGAGCTCAGTACACGAGCGTGCACGGGCGAGAGTACGCTTAGCGTGCGTAGCGTGCGTGCGAGGTGCGAGCGGGCGCGGCCGCAGCAGGGTCGCACACACGAGAAGTGCGAAACCCAAAGAGGACTGACTAAAGGCCTTATCGCACCAAAACAGAAGAAATGAATAATAATAAACCTCTCTCCTCGGGCGCGCAACGAGCTGACAGACACTATGCGAGGAGCGCGGGGGCCGCTTATCGCGGGTAAAATTAATTGTGTAACAGGCAGGAGCTGCTCCCACAAGCAGCACTTTTGGCATATTCATAACGGCAAGAAGTGCAAGCGCCAGACAACAATGACATTTCAAGACGGAACACTTAAGCGGGAGAGGCGCGTTGTAGGTACTACTCCTCTGGCAAGTGCGTGACACTGCTGCTCGGTCCCGGCGGGGCGAGGGGAACTCGGAGAGATACAAACATGGGGCTCCCGGAGTCTAATTGGCCGAGATAACAAGCTCTGTCCGACTTGATTGAGTCCCAGAAGCAACCACCACACATGTGGGCGTATGGAGACAAGCACTGAAAATAAAAACTACTACGTATACAGTTTGTTTCCTGGCTACTCACCATGACCCAGGGCTATCCTGGCGCGGAGGGCGGCCGCCGCCTGGAGGTCCTGGACGGCGTCGCGCTCCCGACTTCTGTCCCGGTCGTCCCGGTGGTGGTGTCGGTGGATATGGTGCTGGTGGTGGTGATGGTGGTGATGGTGGTGGTCCTCGGGGATGTGCCATCTCAGCGCGTCACCGCCGGACAGCCAGAGTTTGTCTGCGCACCAAGGGGCGAGAAAGGCGGCTGTTAGTGTGTCCACCATGGTGACCACGGCGACGGTCGCGACCGCCACAAATAAAAAGGTTCCACGGCAACAACACTTCGACTAAAGGCGCGAGGAGCACACCGCCGTCTCCGAGCCGCGCCGCCCGAGTCGATACACCGCACCGCGCAGCCGGCCGGCTTCTGATCGGGAGGAGGGAGAGGAGGACGAGCACGAGGGTCGTCTCCTCCGCGCCCGGCCTGCCTCGCCCGGCGGCGGGCTCCCCCCCC